GAAAATGTGCAGTAGGCATCTGTCTTCTTGGCCATATTAGGTACAAAATCTGATTCTCAAACTGATTTGTACAGTCATGATGCCTCCATTTGTATCAATGTGGTCCTCATACCTGACATTTCCAAGGAGAGCAAGCTGTGTAATATTCACACTCCATCTGCAAAAAGAGGCTTACTGGAAGGCTGCCTTGGGCATGGGGCAGTGACCCACTACCAGAAATATACACCAAAAGATTTCTTAGTGTAGCATGGAAAAATGATTTGAGACATGTGCTTATAAGTAAATGTCTCAACGAATCCATTTCTAAAGCATTGTTATGGTGATATCTTTCCCAGAATTGTGACTTTCTTTTACAGTTGTGTTTAAAAGTCATACTGAAATCATATGTCAGCATGTTTCTTTTTCAATGAGTACAACCTGTCCTGATATTTTCTTTAAAACATTTATTACAGGAGTCATTAGGACAGCCTTACACAACATGGATCGAGAAGCCAGAGAGCATTACTCAGTGGTTATTCAAGCCAAAGACATGGCTGGGCAAGTTGGTGGGCTTTCAGGATCCACAACTGTCAACATCACCTTGACTGACGTCAATGACAACCCACCACGGTTTCCACAGAGTATGTACCTGTTATCACTTCTCCTTTATAAAACAATTGGAAAATTTGAATACATGGCATCTTGGTTTACAAAGTGATAATGTATTATGGCCGCCCTGTGGTTCTCCTTTAGGCTTCTCTCCACTGGTCATGGATAAAGCTACTACTTAACTAATGCCCTCTGATTCTGAAACATAACTGGTGCTATCGTCAACATGTGGATCTGTTGGCTTCACCTAAGTGTAAAACTGATGTGGTTCTGCTAAAGAATGAATTCTGGCATCGTGGAAAAGATTTATACATTATGAAATTAATCATGGAAATATTTACTGCACATTTTAATGTGGGCATTTCATCCATACAATATTTTTTTCTTAGTTAGCTTAAGGGATTAAATTTTTTAACAAATGTTTGTGTTATGAATGTTCACTATGCACACATACGTGCACAAACAGCATCTGACATTGGTCTCAACTAATTTAAGAATGTGGTGTTTTAGAATAGAATATGAACATAGAAAACAGAAATCATAATGCAATAGGCAGTTCACGGAAACAAGAAAGGTGTTAGTTCTATGAATTTGGAAGGAGATGGCTTTATGTAAACCTCAGAAAGCCTAGGATATAAATACAATATATTGGAGTGTTTTTTAATATGGCCGATACTGTGGACAGCTCTTTTATGGAGTAAACTTCATTTTCCTTACCAACCCTGCTCGTGAGTTATGACAGTTGTCCATTTACAAACAATATTTAAAACTTGTCATCAAGTACTCACCACAGTACACCAATAAAGGCTCTTCACAAGTCAGAGTGAGGTGCTTTTCCCAGAATTATTTCTTCAAGCAATTCTCAGTGCAACCCAGGTCTAGCCATGTTTGAATGCTGCCTATTTCGAATATGTAATAATGCTTTGCAAACTTTTTTACATGTGGAAATTTTATGTCCTCATCCTGTTTTGTATTATCCCTGCTGTAAATTCCTATGAAATCTGTTGCACAATTATCACAGTTGTGTGTTTACTCTTTTCTGAGCTCATATGCAGTTGTTCATCTCATGCTGTTTTCTGATGAGCCCTGTTCTCCTCAACCACTACAGATCTTCCTCAAAGTGAGGCAATGTCTTCGAACTTTTCTGTCACAGTACATGTTAAGGCCATTTATCAAAATTGGTAAAGTATTATTAAATGAATGAGTTAGTTGAAACTCAATACTCTTTCAACCTTTCGGTGCTTAAACAATCATTATTAAAAACATGTAAATGTTACGTAGTTAAATAAAAATCTCTTTAAAAATATTGGGTGGCTCAGCGGTTAAGAACACTGACTGCTATTGCAGAGGACATGGGTTTGATTCCCAGCACCCACATAGTGGCTATGTTCTGTCCTTAACTACAGTTCCAGGGTAATCTGAAGCCCTCTTCTGATCTCTGTGGCATTGCATGACACAGGTGCACTCACATACATGCAGGCAATATACTCATACAAATAAAATAATTTTTTTAAAAAACATTGCTTCTATAAGTACTGTGGTAATTTATGCCTTTGTATTATTTTTACACCATGAAGAAGGTATGTTTGAAAGAAAACCATATAGCAGAGGAAGGCAAAATTATACTTAACAACACATATAATTAAACTTCATAAACCATTTAACAAATTCTAATATCCTTAAGTTTCTATTCTATTAGTGATCTTATAAAATACATGTTTCTAATAGTGCTAATAATGTATAATAGTGCACATATGTTTTTTGTGCTTTTGAGACAGTGTCTCTCTGTAGCTCCAGCTGTCCTGGAACTCACTATGTAGACCAGGCTGGCCTTGAACTCACAGAGATCCACCTGCCTCTGCCTCCCGAGTGCTGGGATTAAAGGTGTGCACCACCATGCCCAGCAATATGTTTAATATTTAGAGATATCCAGAAGATAATATTTTAGCTATTTTCTCCAGTGAGAAACAACACATTGATTGGCACATTTTTGAAGTGATAGATATACCAAATTCAATCCCTTGGTTATTATGCAATGTATATGTTGAAACCTCATATTGTATCTATATGTAAAATTATTATGGGAATTAAAATAAAAGCTTCAAGAGTATAACAATATAAATTCTCTTGCATTGTGAAATGTGAATTTTTCTACCCTCTTTTCCATTAGATTATAGCACTATTTTAAAAAGATATGTTATAATATTGTAGTTTGGAAAAAAAAACGGAAAACATAGGTTATACATGTTAGGGCTCAAGGCACATCTGTTGGAAATAAAATTTCACTTTCAATCTATACTTATTTATCCCTTTAAGTCAATTAAGAATCTTTAAGAAAGCAACAGAATAATATAATCTGGTCATACATGGGTGATATAATTCTTATAGATTGAGATGAATTTAGATTCTAGAAAAATGTGCTCCTAATTCACCTTAGTTTTGTCCATAGCACTGTTGCTGCAGAAGAATCAGTTCATAGTGAAAGCTATTGTTCTCTCTGACAAGGAAATGTTAGATACACTCTCTGAATGAACTTACTATGTTGAATGGTGTATTAGTTAGGGTTCTCCAAAGAAACAGAACTGGTAGAATGAATATATGTGTATAGAGATTTATCAGCTTAGCTCACAGGCTAGAGTCTGAGTAGTCCAACAATGGCTGCACCCTGGAGAGGCTGAGAACACGTAGTCACTCAGTCCACAAGGCTGGATGTCTCAGTAGTCCCAATCTGGCACTGAAAGTCTGACGAATTCCAAAAGATCAGCTAGTCTTCAGTCTACAGCAGCAAGAAAAACTTACCAGTGCGAGAGAAGGCAAGCAGCAAGAATCCTGACATTCTCCTCTGCCTTGGCTTTTTATACCAGCTGCCATTAAAAGGTAACACCCACTTTTAGGGTGTGTCTTCCGGCTTTAGATGATCCAATCAAGAAGATCTCTTTCATTTCAGTTAATCCCAGATCCAATCAAGTTGATGCCCAGTATTAGGTATCACAAGTCCACCCCTTGTCAACTTGACACACAATAGCATCTCTCTATGCCATGCTTAATTTTCAAATGAAAACAATGTTGAAGTCAAAATTTCACTTAACATGATATAACTATCCCATAATACAATGAGCAATGCATTATATATCTTAGAGTAGGTGATAAGGTCTTCGAGGAATGCTTAGTCCTTTAGTATCTCATAACCCAATATAATCATATAGATTCACAAAACTTCACTTAACCACTTAACACATCTCAATTACACATTCAAAAAAGAATAACTTAAGTACCTGCTTAACATATGTGTATACATGCACAAGCCTATTCTTAACCAAATAGGACAGAAATACTCATGTCAATTACAATCCCCATTTCTGCAACTGGTCACATGGCCCAAGCTGGTATTTGTAACTACCTTCCTCTATGACCCATTCTGAATTTCCTCCAACATCAGCAAGCACCTCTGCAGGTCTTGGCTCTTTCCCTGGAGGAGTGACCCAAACTTTCATCCCTGAAGGATTTGGGCCATTTGTTGTCCTGTCTGGATTGGGTTGTTGCAGTTTCCCATTGACCTTAATCACAGAACACGGTAACACCAAAAGTCACCCTAAGGAACCTGCTGCCTGCCAGATATAATCTTCATTACCTCCATTGTGGAGAACAAGTCCAATTTCCCCCTGGTAGTCTGGGTCAATCACCCCTCCTAATGCTGTTATTTCTTTCTTAGCCTGGTGACTTATGGGCATCAGAAGCCCAAAGTGTCCAGGGGGAAGTCTTAACTTCCAGTTCAATGGAATGTTTGTTGTCTCTCCTGGCAGAAGCACTCCCTCCTCCAGAACCAAAAACATCCAAGCCATTAGAGTGCAAAGTCGAGGGTACAGGAAGCAAAAATTTTCCTAGTGGGACACCAGGGGTGATAGTGAGTGGAATCATTCCTACTTCTACCCCTTGATTCCTGGACCTGTGAATCCTTGCTATAGGAGAAATTGTACCGTATATTGGATGCTGATTCAAAGCATACACTGCCTTCTGGAGGACCCTGCCCTGGCCCTCCAGGCTATTGCCACCTAATTGGCATTGTAACTGTGTCTTTAAGAGACCATTCCATCGTTCTATCAAGCCAGCTACTTCAGGATGGTATGGAACATGGTAAGATCAGTGGATTCCATGACCATGGTCCCATTGTCTCACTTCTTTGGCTATGAAGTGAGTTCCCTAGTCAGAACTGATGCTGTGTGAAATATCATGATGGTGGATAACACATTCTGTAAGTCCCTGGATAGTAGCTTTGGCAGAAGTATTACATGCAGAAAACAAAGCCATAACCAGAATAAATGCCTATTCCTGTAAGGACAAAACTCTGTCCCCTCCAAAATAGAAGTGGTCCAATGTAGTCAACCTGCCACCAGGTTGCAGGCTGGTCACCACAGGAACAGTCCCATATTGGGGACTCAGTGTATGTCTCTGCTGTTGGAAGATCTGGCACTCACCAGCATCAGTAGCTAGGTCAGCTTTCATGAGTAGGAGTCCATGCTGTGAAGCCCATGCACAACCTCCATCTCTGCCACCATGGCCACTTTGTTCATGGGCCCACTGAGCAATGACAGGGATAGCTGAAGAAAGAGGCTGACTATCCACAGAGTGGGTTATCTGATCTACTTGATTATTGAACTCATCTTCTGCTGAAGCCACTTTTTGATGAGCATTTACATGAGACACAAGTATGTTCACATCCTTTGCCCATTTGGAGAGATCTATCCACATACTTCTTCCCCAAATGACTTTCTCACCAATTTTCCAATCATTCTCCTTCCAAGTCCCTGACCATCCAGCCAAATCAATTGCTACCACCCATGAATCAGTATATAATTGCACTTCTGGACATTTCTCCTTCTAAGCAAAATGCACAGCCATGTGCACTACCCAAAGTTCTGCCCACTGTGAAGACTTTCCTTCCCCAGTGACCTTCAGGGTTTTTCCAGAAGTTGGCTGTAATGCCGCAGCTGTCTACTACCGAGTGGTGTCTGCATAGCGTGCAGAACCATCT